TTTGCTTAGTTGCTGGATTCTTTCTCCCTTTGTGTTGATAAGTTATGTAGAATATCTTGTAGAGTGTTACCCCCTCCAGTTATGACATTATTGTTGTTGTGTGCCTCCGAGCATCCAGGTAAGGGCAATATACCTTCTAAGAAGTGTTGAGATAGATGTAAATTCCTTGGGTTTTCTCTCGCCATGTGCTGAGTTTCATTTAAAATCCCCATAAGTTGGCCTCTTGCTGTGATGTTAACTTCTTAATTCACTAGAAGAGTCGAGGATGATGCTCCCCTCATAAGTTGTTATCCCATGAACTTTCATGATTCCTCTCTAGAGAAGTTTGCACGACTATTATCCTTGATATTGAAGACTGTATTTGGGCTCTTGTCGGTGGGTGCAATTTCTTTTTCCCCAACGAAATTAGCATGACATCCCCAGTTGAAGTCTCAATGATTGTGGTTTTCATCTTTCCTGGCGAGGTCTCTATTGACATCCCCAGTTGAATTCTCGACGATGTGGTTTTCACTTCCCTAGTGAAGTTAGTTTTGGAATCTCCTGGTGAAGTCCAAACGATGAGGCATTGTCTTCCCCAGTCGAAGTCTGTATGACATTCCCTGGTGAAACCTAGAGGAGTTTATTATATCCCTGAAACTTTATTTGTTTCTAGTCAAGTGGTGCTTTAATTGTTTTAAAGCCATGTTCTTCCTAGTGAAGTTAAGCCGTAAAATAGGACTTTGTTTCCTCAGTTGATGCTTACCCTCTTGTGGAATCTTCATCCTGGATGTGACTTGGCCGAGTGTTGTCTTCACCCAAGTTGGATTTGTCTGGTTATCCCCGGTGCATTATTGTTGCTTTGTCAGCATATACATTATGGCATTCATACATTCATATACATCATGCATAGCTGAATTTAAAATTCATTACTCATTTTCATTCATTGATGTTTTGTCAGCATATTATCCTCTTTGCAGAGTGTGTTACCCTCTCTCCAGTAGAGTGTCAACTTTAAACAGAAAGTGTATATCCTTGCAATTTCCCCACTGAGTTATCCCTCGTAGAAGAATTTTTCTTTAGCTTTCCTACCCAACTTGTCATCTGGTTGGAAATTGGCCCCCTTTGAGTTTATTTCTCATTAGGTGATACCTTGGTTGTTTGTTTCATTCTGGTTTATTTCGGGTTTGAATCTATGGTCCCCAAAAATATTATTATTCTGATTTCTGCAGGCTTAGAACCTTGGTTTGAGAATGTGCATTTATTTTGCACACAACGACTTTTTCTCCTCAATAGGAATGTGTTGGCATGTCCCGTGAAATCAAAATTCATTTCCCGCCAGTGTTATTGCAATTCCTTCTTAAACAACAAGTGGCAGGTCTTTTTATTTGAGCAACATGTTCTTTCCCAATAAGTCTGTTAATGATAGAGAAAATGTTTTACTCCAATGAATGGTAGTCTCTTCGTTATGGGAGATAGTTCGTTTTTTAGATTTGTATTCCAATGAATGGTAGTGTCTTCATTATGGGAGATATTTCATTGATGAGATATTTTTTCCAATGGATGGTAGTCTCGTCATTATAGGAGATAGTTCGTTGTGAAGATGTTACTCCAATGAATGGTAGACTCTTCGTTATGGGAGATAGTTTGTTGTTGAGATTTATATTCCGATGAATGGTAGTCTCATTATTATGGGAGATATTTCGTTATTGAAATTTGTTACTCCAATGAATGGTAGTCTCGTTATTATGGGAGATAGTTTGTTGTTGAGATTGGATGTACTTCAATGATAAAGACAGTTCATTGAAAGATTCTTACAGCAGTTTGTTACCCTTTCCAGGTGAAACATCTTGGTTAAAGAAGAAACTGAGACCAGTTCATGGCTTATGGCCAGGATCGAGTGGAGGTTTATCTGATTCTCCATCAAATGGTATCTCTTCGAAGAAGTCTCGCAAGAGAAGTTTGTTGTGAAATCATTGCAAGTGGTAGTCTCTTTATTTGAGATAGCTTGTATTTTTACCCGTTCTAGGTAGAACGCCTAAATTTTATGTAACTCGTTATTGTTAACGCAGATTTCACTTTCAGTAAAAGTTGGTATATTTTTGCTTGTTACCTTCAGTAAAAGTCGGTAACTCACCTTCAGCAAACGTTGGTGTACCTACATTTCAGCTTTAGTAAAAGTTGATGTTTTCTCTTTTCTCCCTACCTTCAGTGAAAGTTAGTAGTCCATCTTTAGTAAACGTTGGTGAATCATCTGTTATCTCTAACTTTAGTGAAAGTCGGTATTGTTCTATGTTTTTTCTACCTTCATCTTTGAGTTGGTAGTTCATCATCGTTTTTAGTCTGCATTTATCACTTCCTCCTCATTGGACCTTACTCCAATTGAGTTGTTTCCAACCATAAGTTCTGACGTCAAATCGTTGTTACCAGTCATAAGTACTAATACCAATCACTCATTTACTAGTCTCTAGGTTGATGTTATCTCCATCTCTGAGCCGCTATTATCTTACCATTTCTATTTATGCCCCTTCTGTTTAGCAGTTGCCGATTCCCTGTGAGTTGATGTTACCTTCTTTTTCGCTATCTCCTCTATAAGTGGATAGTTCACAATTGTCGGTTAATCATTGTTATCCATTACTTTTTCCCCATTTTATCGAGTGAATGTTATGCTGTCTCCTCTTTGGGCCTTACCCCAGTAATGTTGAGTCTTCTTTTCCCAACGGGGTCGATTTGTCTCCAATGGATTCAAATTTCTATCCCCAGAGTTGTGTTGTTCCCCAGAGATTTATTTTCCTGGTCGAACTCTTTCTCTTAGTTTGTTGATTTTACTTTTTCTTCTCAAGTGTATCTTGTTCACCTATATAAAGTTTATATTTTACATCCATAATCATAAGCATCGCATGGCATCTTAGGGCCAAAAATAGGGCTTGTTGTATATTTAAGTATCTTCAATCGCGTCAAGACGGAGATTTTAACCTTCCTATCTCTGGATAGAAGACACTTAAATAAGGGCAGTTGTTATACCCCAAATTTTCCCCCTAAGATCCCTCATCACATCATATACATCTCATGCATATCATCAGTTCCATGATTATGGGATCAAAGGGCTCTTGGCATTAGGGTTTTCTTTATGAATTGAGGTTGCTACTTTACTCAAAGTTGATTCAACTGATTCCTTCAGCTCTTAGTATGAAACTAGGGTTTTGGATTACAAACATCATAGATATCTTCCTCGGAAAGATTCATTAAGCTATAAGTTTGTCCTCATCAAAATTTCGCAAAGAACCAGTGCATTAGGGTTAACTTGTATGCTTAAGCTTTCATCATTGACTTTATTGATAGTGCTCTTGAGTCAGGGTTTTTTTCTTCTAACCATCTCAAGCTTTGTTTATCAAGGGTACATTATTTTTTCCTCAGTACGAGTTCATCATCATCATTTAGGGTTTTTCCTAATGGCTTTCTCCACAAGACGTTAGTTTCAAGAAGTTTGGAGGATTTCATCAAGGACTCCTTTATTGTGATGTTAGTTCCCAAATGGTTGAGGATTAGTTGAGGGTTTCATCAAATCAAGATGTACTTTGTTGTGAAACTATGGGTTTGAATTTCATCAAAAAATTTGACGTGGTTTGGTTGCTTCTCAATATGGTGGTTCCATTAAAGATTGAGGTTCATTGAACTAAAATGTTCATATTGAAATTATATTGGTCGTCTTTCTCTCTGCACCTCAAATCATATCTAAGGATCACTCAAAGCATTATGGTTATCTTAAAGTACCTAGTTTTGGTATTATAAGTTACCATGGGTTGGAGATCAAAATTAAGGTCCCATTGGAGATGATTTAGAGATTTACTCAAGAAATGTCATCAAGTTTAAATGCATATAAAGTCTGGTCTGTACCAGTCCATCATTGTCTGTTTATTTCAAAGCAAGGCTCATGGATATTTCTCCATTCAAGAGGGCTCATATTGATGGAATATCAAGTCATGTGGATTTACCTTACAAGTTATATGTAAATGGATACTTGAGATAAAGATATTCATCTAGGCATATGGTTAACTAGTAATACAAGCTTGCTAGAGGTTTCATGTAAAATGTCTCAAGGTTAAAACCTAATGTTGTCTTTTAAAACATTAAGATTTTGAATTGTTGGTCGTGTAGATAATCAAGCCTATGCAACCTGAAGATACTTTGAAAAATGGGATGATTCAATTCAGATTCATATGATCCCTTCGAGTTGCTAATAGTGAAGAATACTTTGATTATCATCATTAAAACTTTAAAATATCACAAGGTTTCCAAAAGTCAGGGTCATTTACAATATGAATCCTTACATAAGTACATGATAATAAGGCATTTCAAGTTCATTACCAACACAAGACTCTACATCTAAGAGGATGTACAATACCATTCCAAAACCATACATCATATTCCATTTCAAAATTACAAATAAAATTTAATTAAAAAATACTTCTCCTAAAACTTAGTTATAATCTTCCATCCTACTTCTATTTCTTCTCACTTCAACCTTGCTTGAACTATGCCTAAACTTATTCATGCTTCCTTCAACAAATTTACCTTGATCAGCCCTTCCCTACTCCAAAACATTGCAATTTGTCCAAAAAAGGCTTCATGTCCATAAAAAACAATGCACTCTTTGATGCATTGCAAGCAAACTAATTCACCTGCATTAAACCATACAGGCCATTAAAACAAAATTCAACATAAATTTAGAACAAGAAATACGTCAGTTCGAGACCAGCTGAAGTTACTCATGAACTCAGGCCATTTCGGTTCAGCAGAAAATACAGAGGGAGATAATACTGGTCTAGAAAATAAAATTAAAAAAACCAAATAAAGGAATTGCATTTGTTCAGCTCCGTGTCGAGACCGTTCATCGAAGAAGATGTATCAGTTCACATAAACCAAGTTTATCTAGCATGGTTATATCAGGTTGCAGCTCACATCCAAAAGACCGAAGCCAAAAAATGTAAAGAAAGGAAATGGTGAAATAGAAAAATAAGAAATCAAGTCCCAACTAAATTCAGTTCTAGCATAACACAAAAATCAGCGGCTTCTAGCTGACTGCAAAATCCATAACAGAAAAACAATAGAAACTATAAGTAATAATAACAAATCCCTAAATGATTTTAAACAACCTAATCTCTGCCCTCCATTGCATAACAGACTCTATCAAGATCCAATGGCTAAGGACTTCCCACTTCAACCTATATAACAGAACCATAACAAAATTGAGGGAGGGGGATAACAGAAAACAAAAAGTTCACGGAACCTGATCTCTGAACCTCTATGAGATTGGCGGAAGAACACTCATCTTCATCTTCAACCTTCACTCTTCTCACTCTCTCTTCCACCTCGAATCCATACAGCGCTCTGTCTCAATTCTCTGCAACTTCACCTTCTCAAACCTCCCTACACGTTCTCTTCTGGGGCCATTGAAGCTTCACATTGAAGCTTCAATTTGTCGAGCTTAGACCCCTTCAACTCTCAATCTTCACACACTTTGAGTCCTCCCCCATTCATCATCATCAATCTTTCAACCTTCTGAGTTTATTTCTCAATTACACTCTATTCATCTCAACAACAATAGTGAAAAAGGAAAATACGAAGAAGCAAGAGTAGAAGAAGTATTCACATAAGAAATAGGAGATCGTACCTGAATAAGAGTTTTCTCAAAGGTCTCTGGGTTTCTCGACTATTATCTTCATCGAAATTCACTGGAAAATTGCCAGAACATCCCTCGGTTCCAGAAGTAAATGCGATTTTCCTTCTTTCTTCAGCTTTTTCAACCTTTTCTTGCTTTGAGTTTGTAGAAGACAATGTGTAGATTAAGAACCCCAAGCCTGCTTGATCTGAAGCTTTCACCATAGCATTTAATTAAACCTTCAAGATCTAGGGTTTCGACTAGATGTAGGGGTTATAATCCAAAATGAATGAAAAAATCATTGGTGGATTCGTATTGAGGGCATTAAGACGAAGGGATTGGTGTATGCGATTTAAGTTTTGCGATCGTTGATAGTGGCGCTCGCGACGATCTTCCTCGCTGGAAATCGCACTGAGAACAAAGTGGGAAGGAAGATAGTTGTTTGCAAGAAAGTTGAGAAGTCACAGTGCATGTGTTAACCTAGCATAGTCAAAACGCTACATTGCCATTAATTTCCATTCATTTGTTTTTTAGTTTAATACAATTGGAAACTCTGAATAATGCTAAAAAGGATTAAAGGCTGAATTGATGGTGGGCCTGGATCGCATATTTATTTTTTCTAGAGGCCTGCTACATTTTTTGACACTCGAGCGGATGTACAAAACCATCTTGGACCAAGCAAATTGAGCCTAGCGCCCTTGTTGTTGAGTCCAATGCTCTATTCCAGTTCAACACCATTGGACCCTTATGCAATAGACCCTGCACCTAGTTTACTACAATACACCACCAACTGTAGTTTAGCACACCCCCCGACTCTTTCTATTTCCGTTGGTTTTTAGATTTTGTTTTTTTAGTTTAAATTCCATTTTTACATAAAAATAGTAATGAAAATACATATAATAAAAACAATAAAAATATATAGAATTTAGGAATCCCTCTTTTTTTAGATGATAAACTACAAAATCAATAAAAATGGTAGGCTTTTTTATTTGATTTTTGGAAATTAATTCATAATCTTTCGAGTACTTGAAACTTGTGTTTCACTTCTACTTGTCGAGATTTGAGTTTTATGTGGGTTTAGTATGTGATATGGGAACATGCTTGAGTCTCCGATTGTGATTTATTTTCACATCGATGATGTTTCGACACATATTCCGAATATTCGATCTTGCACTGCTTGTTTGTTGGTGACAGCTCGCGCAACTATTATGGGTTTCTTTGCTTTGGTTACAGTTTTTGTGGACATTATTGTTTGTTTGGTGTTATACTACTTCCAATTTATATTTCCATATTTATCGCTTTCAAAAATCATTTGAAGTAGAAAGCAGGAAATAAAGAGCGTGCGCTCGAAGTCGCTGTTTAAAGTCCTATAGCAGGCACCGCTTTTTGTATGCTATTTGTGTTTGATTAAAATCCTACCTTTGAAGTAGATATTCCGCATGTATGTTTACATTTGTGCCCGCATTATATTACAGATGATAAGTCCTCAAAAGGAGGCTGTGATACGGTGGGAGAACTGACTATGAGTTTTGCGTTTGTTTTCGCAAATGTGCGGTTGAGCAAGAGTCGCCACCGACTTTTTATTTTATCCTAAGGAAAGGTTTAAAAAGCACAGCAAAAACCTTTGAGATGTTTTCTTGGGTTCGGGGAGTAGATTATAGAAAGGGAAGGTATTAGCACCCTTTCTATCCATGGTTATCCATGGGCTCTTAGTTACTTGCTTAGATCACTTGCCTTTTTCATTTGTTTGGGATGGTGCTTTGTGTGTGGGTTTTGAAAATGTTTTGAAAAGAGGCCAATGTGGTGGCAACCTTTGTAATGATCCATGTTGGGATGTATACAAAGGTGTATGTCTTTTGAAAAGGTTTTCATTCGTTTTTTGAAAGTTGTTTTTGAAAGTGTTGTGAGGTGTGAAAAAACAGGCAAGTGTTTTTATTTTGCAAGTTTGACAAGTACTTAAGAGCGATCTACCCTAAAGTTCTCAAAGATTTTTGTTTATGTTTTTAACCTTTTTAACAATTTTGTTCCACCATTGTATTTGGTGGGCAATCTTGTGTTAGGATGTGAAAGGGACGGGCGCGGGTCATCGTTTAGACCATAATTGCAATGGTGCCAAGTATCTTTGGGCATTTTCCTTAAGGGACTTGATCATTTGAATTGTGTTTGTTTTGAAAAAGTTTTATCGAGGGACTATGATCATTCAATTTGTTTGTTTTGCCCAAAGAGACCTAACATGCAATATGGCCCAATTTTGAAAGGCAACAAGTGGATATAACCCTAGGGGTGTTAATGTGCAAGTGTGTTGTATTGCATACAAGAGTTTTTCTTTGAATTAGGTTTTTCTATTTCATTGATTTTATCTTGCCATACACGTCCTAATTACTAGCAATAAGAAGCGGAAATATAAAATCCTACGCTATTACAACAATTAGGGGAGGGGGATACACATTTGTACATGGGGGGTTCAACGAGAAAAATAGACAAAAAAGAAAATAGCAAAAAACAAGATATATAGAGAGAGAGAGGGAGCCCGCGCGCTGTTGGGAGGCCATTAGAAGTTCTGACCCAGTTCCGTTGTCAGATGATCAACCTGTTGGTGAAACTGGATGAGTCAGAACTTCTGACTCTAGAACCTGCAAAACAGAACCTTGTTAGTGGGGAAACCAGAAGTTCTGATTTCCCTGCGCTGCAAGACAGAAGTTTGTTAGTGGAGAACCCAGAAGTTCAGATTCTGCTGAAAAGGCAATAACTCTCAGAGGTTCTGATGTCATTGACAGCAAAACAGGCTTCAGATGTGCTAACGTCAAAGTCAGCACTTGGCTTTTTCCTGCACTAATCAGAACATCTGCAATCCTGTTGTTACTCCATAAAACAGAAAACATATTTGGAGCAGATCCAGCAAAATAGCAAAAATGTTTCAGAGGTCAGAATCACCACGGTCACAGGCAAGTCCTATATTGGCTCAGAACGTTCTGAGGTATGAGAATCCTCAGAACATAAACAGCAATAACATGAATATTTACATTATGTTACTTGAATATGCACAGCTGATGATGCTTAACAGTGTGGTGAGGGTCAGCAGGTGCTTACCTGACTGTCTGGAAAATGATGGGTGAAAGTTAGCTTTTGGTTCTGGTGGTGTTCTGGACAGATTTGGAAAAGGGGAAGTGAAGGTGTATACGTGTATAGGGTCAGAAGTTTGGAAAGAACGTTTTTGGTTTACAGAAAAGAGCTGGATGTTTGATGAAGTTGAAGGTAAGAAACTTAAAGCAAAGCTGGAGATTTTGGCAGAGTTTCAGAATGTTATGTTGCTAGGAGTTTCGTTTCTCTCTTAGCAATTTTCTGTTTCTTTTCTTGAACGTCTTTTGCAGTGGTGAAAGCTCTCTATTTATAGGAAAAGTTCTTGTGGATGCCTTGAACATTTAAGGCGCCAACAGAGTTTGAATTTGTTCTTTGACAGAAATTCCTGGGAAGTTGTGATAACAGCTATCTTTCGGCCTAGGTAGCAGCAGCAGGCGTAGATTGGGGGAAGTGACCTCTGAAATGGGCGGTGGCGTGAAGACCCATGCCAGAATCTGTGCAAAAGAATTTTCCAAGCCACACGTGAACGCTCAGGAGTGGTTGGAAGCATTAATGGGCATTAAATGGTGACAAGACCTGTCAATACCAACATTCTGGTTGTTGAATCAGCAGCGTAAACCATGCTCTGGCCTTGGCTACCTGTTGTCTTAGCAAGCTCTGGAGATTCTCCTGGTTTTCTGGTGCGTTCCTTGGATCTACTTCTGGACAATCTGGACTTAGAGATTCTGTATCAATGTGACACCTATCCTTCTGACCTTTCATCTTCTGATTTCAACCTGTTCTGAAGGAGCCTTTATACTTTCATGCTTCTCTTGTATTCCTTTAGCAAGTTCTGACTGAGCTTGTGTAACTGCTGAAGGGGCATGTTCTGTTTGAGGCTTACATTCTGAACCACGTTTACAACTTCTGATTGAACTGATGTAGCTGCTGAAGAGCTAACTTCTGACCATGCTGAGCCAAGCTTGCAACTTCTGACCGTCTTCATCTGGAATGGGTCCAGAAGTTCTGAAGCGCTGATTTTTCTAAAAACACTTATTTTAAAGAAACATTCTAAGCACTTAGAATTTGATTTTCCTCAAGATGAACGCGTTGTTTCTGGAGTTTGTGAGATCATCTTGCTCTTGTAAGTGACTTGCCTGGGCAAAAGGATAACTCAGGACTTAGATTTGTTTCAGGGGACTTTGAAAAATCTAAGATGGTTTCCTGAAGAAAGGGAGGGCAAATTTTGGGGTACAACAGTTGCCCCTGTTCAATCTTCTTGAACCTGAGGAATTAGATTGGCGAGTTTGCCTTTCGCGACTCGAAGGTAAAAGAAGATTGGACACCAGAGTGCCCTAAAATTTGCACTCGCTTAGTAGAGTATCAGCAATGTGATGGCGGGAATGGGCTTATAGATGCCATTTGGAGAGGTGACAGATCCTTGTCGGGAATGGGCTTATAGATGCCATTTGGAAGTGTCGATCGCATAAGAGATTCCTTAGCGAGAAACTTGTATATTTGAGAAAGACGGATGTTTTCCTGGCTTGTTACAGGTGTTTGATCTTCAATCTCCTTATGCAGATGTGCCCTGGCTAGATACAGGTATCGAATCTACAATCGGTTGCTCACAGATGTGCCCTGGCTGGATACAGGAGTCGAATCTGGAAATAGTCGTTAATAGATGTGCCCTGGCTGGATACAGGAATCGAATCTTCGAACTCTTCAGACGTGCCCTGGCTAGATACAAGAGTCGAGTCTGGAAATAGTCATTAATAGATGTGCCCTGGCTGGATACAGGAATCGAATCTTCGAACTCTTCAGACGTGCCCTGGCTAGATACAGGAGTCGAGTCTGGAAATAGTCGTTAATAGATGTGCCCTGGCTGGATACATGAATCGAATCTTCGGACTCTTCAGACGTGCCCTGGCTAGATACAGGAATCGAGTCTGGAAACTGACCACTCTCAGATGTGCCCTGGCTAGATACAGGTATCGAATCTTGAGATATTGTAGTTGATAGATGTGCCCTGGCTGGATACAGGAATTGAATCTTTGAACTCTTCAGACGTGCCCTGGCTAGATACAGGAATCGAGTCTGGAAACGTGACAGTTGATAGACGTTGTCTTTGGGATTGTCTTTTTCCCTGAAAAGGCAAAAACATAAG